TATTGTTTAGAGATAATTGTACTAAGAGTGAAAGAGAATTTGTGAGGTTTTGTAACAAAATTTGAGTTTGGCTTCTTGGAGAGTAGAGTATACGATTATAGTTAATTGTTGAACAGTTAGAGTGAGCTACTTAGGTGATTTACTAGAGTTAATCTTTTTGATTATAGAGTTGTAATCTAAAGTTTCTCTTTGAAGTTAGGGAAGTTTGGTTTAAAATACTACGAGGGTAGATCATTGTTTTTTTCCCTTGAGTAAGGAGGTTTTCCACGATAAAATCTCTATTTTATTATATTACATTTTTGTCTCTGAAAATTCAACAAGAACCCAATTCTTGTATAGGTGGTCAAAGTTTCTTTAATTTTTCAAACAACCCCCCCCCCCCTCGGATTTAAAAATTCTTACCATCCTGACTACGTGTAAAAACAGGACAGCCTTGTATGGATTAAAACAATCCCAAAGAGCATGGTGCGATCAACGATCAAGCTTCTTTCTTGCACACAGGTATTCAAGAGGCAAGATTGACAATACATTGTTCTTCGAAATCAGGGCTCCAATAAGCTCATTGTTCAAGTGTATCTAGATGACATTATCTTTGGAGGAAAATATTCAAAACATGGGGCTGACTTTGCACAACTGATGAGCAGAATATGTTGTTGTTGCCTCGTGGTATGCCCAATATCTCTGAATCAATCAACAACTTCATTAAACCACAATTTATTTAAGTTCTCTACTCTTCTTCTTCTTAAAAAATCTCAAGTGTTATTTGTAAAAATTGAATAAGTTCGAAACTCAACGAAATTCGAGGTACCTCATAAGAAAGAGTTGGTGAACAAATTGTAGCAAATCATTCATCAATTCTCACACTCATATTTTTTCTTACGATTTTCATGAATTAACAGTGACAAAAAGTTGTGGGAGAGACAATAATATTAAACAGATATGAAAAAAGGCATATGATTTGGGTAAGATATTTCTTCTTTGTTTTTTTTTTATTCAATTACCCTCAAATGAAGGAGTTTCTTCCTAATTTCGCTAAAACAATGGGCATCAACATAGTCAATTGAATTATTAGTTTTGATGTTAAATTCACTATTTCAAAAATAAATTTTTACTTTTACTTATAATATGATAATATAGCCATGATAATAATTATTTTTAATAGATATGTATGTAAAATGGAATGGAGAAAGTAAAGTGTTGATGGCAAGAGATTTAAATCAAATGGAACACCAGAGTGAATATAGCATGCACATATATTTTTGTCTTCCTTCTTCATTGGCTATGTATTGTTCCATATAATTTTTCTTTATGTCACAAGATACACTCTTTACTAGTTATATAAAAATAGATAAGTAAATAGTGATTGATCATTAAATGATCTTAAATCAAATTAATGATTCTATGAATAATACTTTAAATTTTATTCATCTATTAATTTTTATTATTGAAAAATTTAAATATTTTATATCATGATACAACTTCTATAAGATACTAGATACATTTATTAGACAACAACTATATGGTATGTATGCGGCAGAAAAAAAGGAGAAGACTACAATTCCATAAATATAAGGTAGAAACTTAATGAAATGAAATATTTTTTACCATAGGTGATGTTGTTCATATATTAAAATAAAACTATTCTATTGAAGTGTATATATCTATAACAAAGAATTGGTCAAGCTAAATATTTGACATACACTCAAACTTGTATTTAACCATCATTCATGATAACAACAAAGTATACTTTTTTGGTAAAATTACCTCTCTATGATAGTCTTACTCAAATATTAATTGAGTAATAATATTTTATAAAAGATATATTACATATAAAGATAAAGTATTGAAATACTTATGGTAATTCTTTTTAGTTTCATGCACATACTAAATTTCAAGTATGAATATTTAAGACAAAATTTGTACTTAAATGGTGTACATCATTTATGTTCATAACCTCAAGAGGAAAGGCTATTGGTGACATTTTTTGAATGAATAATTTCTTTTTCCGATTTTGTTGGTTAGATTTGTTTACAAAATTGAGTGAAGTAAGAAATAGTACTACTAAAGAAATGTCACGTTCTCTCATATTTAAACTCTGAATGTATTTTGAAATGTTTTAATGATATATGGTCATATTGATCTCAAAATACAAGAAACTCTATGACAATATGGATTAATCATTTAAAAACACTTGTCCTATGTTCATTCAATTATAATTATTTACTAAAAAGCTTTAATTTAGTAATATTAATTTTATTTTACAACATCATATATTATATGTACGATACACACGTGCAACGCACGTGCCGTGAAACTAGTATCATATATATATATATATATATATATATATATAAGAGAACCTTAGGCCCGCCAACATGGCGCCACCACAAATCAGAATTCCTTTTTAATTTATTTATTTCCAAAACTAGCATTCCCTTTTCATGAAAAGTTGTGACTTTTATGAAGAGTTGCGACTTTAATGAAGAGTTGCGACTTTTATGAAGAGTTGCGACTTTTATGAAAAGTTGCGACTTTTATGAAAAGTTGCGACTTTTATGAAAAGTTGTGACCTTTCCGAAGGATTGCAACTTTTCCAAATAGTTGTAACCATTCCGATAAGGCACAATAAACATTTGTTCATACTACCCTTTGTTGTCTATAAATACAGGGATTTCTTCTCATTTTAAAACAACAAAAATTCTAAACCTCCTCTTCTTCTTATTCTTCACAATTAAATATTTGTGTACTTTGCTCATGTTGAGTGGCTCACTTACACCATTGCTTATGTTACAGATCCTGGTACGTATTTTTGCAGTCATTATTTTATGCTTATGTTACTAAGGATAAATGATAAGATGTAATAATTTTCATTTTACTTTACATTATTAATGTTTGTTACTACGTAATCTTGTATGTAAGATAATATAATGTTTTAGTTTTAATGACAAATAGATTTTAAGTATTATTTTATAAATTTCGTGATATTAAGTTTCCGCGCGAAACGCGGATAATTTTACTAGTATATATATATAGGCATATTCAAAATTTCTTTTACCCTAGCTCCAACTTCTAAACAAATTGTAAAAGTTTTAATTAAATTTTTTTTTTATTAAAAACGTATTTAAATTGAACGTGAAAAAAAAAAACTGATTATTCAACTAAGTAATTTTATTTTTCAATTTTATCCTTAATCTAAATTAATTATTATTGACCATCACAATTTAAATAAACAATTTAAACTATAGCTAGGTAGACTAAATATATATCACTATTTGCTATGACACATAGTTTTTACTAATTTGAATGGTTCATGATTAGATTATTAAGTGGGGATAAGACACAAGTACCCTCCTAGGCTATGACCAAAATTTCAGAGACACACCTTAACTAAACTAATGTCCTATTACCCTCCCTAAACCAATTATTTTTTCCAGTAATTTTGTCCACCTTTTTGGCTTACGTGACATCCAAACATCTCCCACGCCCCTCAACTACGTGGAGTCACAGAGTGTGCCACGTAAGCCAAAAGATGTATAAAATTACAAAAAAAAAAATGAGTTCGGAGAGGTAATAGGACCTCAATTTAGTTAAGATGTATCTCTGAGATTTTGGTCATAGTCTAAGGGGTGGGAGGGGATACTTGTGCCTTATCCCTGGATTAAGTGCATTTATTTACATGAAAATTAAAACACTTATTTGATCTACATAGGTTTTAATCTTTAAAATCTTAAACAATTCTTAATATTATTAAGAGATATATTTGTGTGGATAATTTTCACAATCACTCAATTGACAATCATCGGTCACTACACTATCTTAGTTGTCACAACCACCACCATCATCATTGTCAACCACCATCCTGGCTTCATAGCCACCATTGGCAAATATCATTGTTGTCAAAAATACTACTGTTAGTCGCTATCACCTATCATATTCATTATTATTATTATTATTATCATATTCACCATCACCGTCGTCATTGTTGGGGCTGCCACCACTACTATCAATGCCACCACTATAGACAATCTTTATTATCAACCACCTCTGCCTCACTACTATCACCAACATATAGTCAACCACCACAATTTTCTGCTACCAACATTACCAACTACTAACATGAACCAACTCCACCATTGTCACCGTCACGCAAGTCACTGAAACACGAAGTACTTCTTCTATAACAATTAGCACCACCTTCACCATCACAACTATCAATACCACCATTACTAGCCATTAGCACTTACCTTCACTACCACCAACACAAGCAAACATAAATATTTTAATTTTAAAGTCGAATAATTTTAAAATATATATATATATTTATTTAAATTATTTGATTATTTTTTAAATCTAAATTGTATATTTATCATATTTACAAATAAATAAATTATATAAGTTCATATACTGAAAAATAAATGACCTTAATCATTTAATGATCAAATTTAAAAATATCTTAATCATTTAAATTTGCATTTAGATTCACATTTTAATCAAAGACATAATGGCTCATGGTAGACATCTTTTCTTCTAATTTTGTGTTTTAAAGTTGTTGAAAGCCTATGATTTTAATTGGTAATCTAACATAGCATACTTGCCTTCTGTTTAACAATCATAATACTTTGGCGTCAAAGTTCAACAAGAATACTTTTTCAAACCCAAGTGAAGACACATGATATAGAAAATATTGTATCTCATATATATAAATATACTAACAAGCAGTTTACAGAATCTAACTTGTAGTGGTCTACCCAACATATACAATATAACAGCCAAGCACATAAACGTGATTGACCTTCCCAGTTGAAATTCAACTGTATCAACAAATTCCTTTGGTTTACTGTTTGGAATCAGAATATGGTAAAGAGGGGGTTGAAAGGGGGGGGGGGGGGGGGGGGGGGTCATCAGCAAGTCCAATAAAGTAGCATTTGCACAAAGAACAACTTTCACAATGTTTTTGTCAGTCAACAGTTGATATGGGAAGGAAGAGATGTCAAACAGTTGATAATAAACAAATTGGTTTGCAAATAAGTATACTAAAGATACATAACATTCACAAGGTTTAGAAACCAAGGGAGGTACACTGCTTCTTAGCATGTTCTGGTATCAGTTTGTTTAAGAGCTCTGCAGATGCTCCTTTCAACTCTGTAGATGAAATTGCACAAAAATAAGTAACCAAGAAAACTTCAATTCCTTAAAAGTACTGGTAAGGGAATATGATTAAACCTTGAGGCCTAAAGTTGAAGAGAGGTGGCAATGGTCGACCATTAGGGAGACGAGTCTTAGGGTCACGGAGCTCATCGAAGAAAGAGTGGGTGCAAGCCTCCAACTGCAAATGGGAATCAAATACATATTACAATAGCTTAATGGAAATTGTTTTCTAATAAGTAGAACCAACATTGTCTTGCATGCCATACCAAACATGAAAGAAAGGTACCTTGCTCATCATCATTTTTATGCATTTAAAATGCATCCAAATTATGCAATCAAATGATTATAAAAACATCCGACTCCACAAGTAACAAAATCTATTTCATAGAATTATGTTATATAACAGAAATGATACAACAAGATCATATCAGGATGCAATATTTTTTGGACAACTACCAGCTGCAAATGCACTTCTCGGAAAATATATCAGCCCAAGAAATTAGAGAATACTAATTCTTAAGTTATGAAACAACTTCTTCAGAAATGACATGACCTGTTTCCTAAAGCATTTTAAAGGTGTAAAGATGTGAAACTAATTTTTCTGTTGTTACTGTTAAGGTAGGGCCCTTAGGTAGCTTGGCATAATTTAAGATGGGAACAGATTGTCCAGTGTTAAGAAACAAATAGGGGAAAAACAACTTTAAGGCAACTGACAACCTATTTCTTTTTTGTTCTTTGTTTGGATAAGGGAAAAGACATAGTTGTTTCGATGGGAAATTCTAAACAAGGCCAAGTAATGCACACAATACAAAGAGCATGTGGTCCTGTTACTCTGATGAGTATGAAGCCCTTAGTTATTCTTGGTTCCACAATCATCTAAAAGCAACTCCAGAGGAAAGACTCCTAAATTAACCTTCAGAATCATACAATTGTTTGTTCCCCTCACATTGTGGTCTGAAGTTTGACCAGGTACTACTGCGTAATATGGTTTCTTGATCTGCCCGGTTCATCTATATTTGCAGCTGAGAAATTGAGGGGAAAAAAGTTTAAACTTACCGCAGTAGACCGCAAATTTGGAGAATACTGGAGAAGCCTTGACACAAGATCCACAGCTTCAGGAGGCATCCGCTTATGAAAAATCTGGAATAAAAAGAAGCAATGAGTATATAAGTGTGTAAGGAATGATCAGCACTGTATTATCTATGTAGGAACAGACAAGAACCTCACTTTATGCCAAGGGTGAGCTTTGATTTGTGGGAATTTGAACTCAGTGTAATTTGGATTCATACACTTGATTTCCTCCCGAGTTGGTGTTCCGAGAACCTAGACCATACAAGATTTCAGTACAATTGCTTTCTGCAATCTGGAGATCATGAAATTAAGTTCATCATTACTCGAGTGAAGATACCTTGATAATTTCCACGAGCTGATCAACTCCACTCTCACCAGGAAAGAGGGGCTATGGATATTGTAACAGAAAAAGATTAGAAAGATGTCAAGAATTATGAAATTGTTCCTGTCTAGAATTAAAGAACAAGATTCTGAAAGAATAAGACCTGCCCAAGAAGCAGTTCAGCAAGGACACAACCCACAGACCAAATGTCAATTGCAAATGTGTATTCAGTTGCTCCAAATATAAGTTCAGGCGCACGATAGTAACGAGAGCAAATGTATGAAATATTTGGCTCGCCTTTGACCTGAAGGATAATATATAACTTTAGGCAGCTATTTAAGAGAAACATGAAGATCAAAATAAACACAAGATTGAGCTGAAATCATCTGATACCCCCGAGAAAAATGCAGTCGAGAAAAGAATAAAGTGTGGGCATTTAGGAGAATTGATCAAGTCTAACTTGATTGACATTAATGAAAAGCAAATTTTTTTGTTCAGGTAGAATCCTTTTTTGATATTGTACAGTGTTGAAAGTTACTTGTTTATCATTTGGTTGACAGACAAAACTGGACCAGAGATCATGATCATGAAATACACTCATCAAAAATAAGAGGACTAATTCAATAGTAACTGTAAGTGCTTCACCTCAGAAACTAGAACAGTAGAAAAAGTATGAAAAAGTAGAAAACAATACCAATTTACTATAATCCAAGACACTTTGCTTCCCTAAATAATCAGGGGACAGACAATGTAACATCGTTAAAAAAAAAGAAAAGGGCAGACCGGTGCACTAAGCTTGCGCTATCAGCAGGGTCTGGGGATGGGCTGGACCACAAGGGTCTATTGTACGCAGCCTTACCCTACATTTCTGCAACAGGCTGTTTCCACAGCTCAAACCCATGACCTCCTGGTCACATGGAAGCAATGTAACATTGTTCAACTTCTGTAAAATCCTAGTAACTATATGACAAACATAACCATCACTTGTCACCAACAAAACAAATGCACAAAACCACAACTGTTTCCTGATTTATTTGCAAGTGGATGATAGTAGTGCACAACCACAATGACTCATCACAAAAGATGGCACACAACCATAGTCATTCTTGGTTTATAAGACAAATGTTAATGGGGATTCCTTTTCTTCGTGAAATGGGGTAGGTGACAAAAGTAGCATACATTAACTTCTAAGTTGCAAAACTGCTGTTGCTGAATAAATAAACGTTGTGCTTTGTAACTGGAGTTAGTCAACTTTCGAGTAGTCACAAACAAAAATTTTACAAGTTACAATTACCAGAACTTTTGCACTCCCGAAATCACAGAGCTTAAGCTGGTGAGTATGTGGGTTGACCTGCCATGGAAAACTGCAGTAGTCAATATCATAAACCTTTTAATAGATAGACTCTTAAGCTTTGAAAAAACAGACCAGTAAATTCTGAGGCTTGATGTCCCTGTGGCAGACTCCTATCCCGTGTATGTAAGCCAAAGCTCGGAAAATCTGAAGAAGTGTATAATCAATAAACACTGATTTGCAACAAAATATCTATAAGGTATTTGTAACAAAAAATACTAACAGTCCTGAGCTGCAACAGTGTCAAAAAATAAAACAAAACAAGCTGCATCAAGTCCACCTTCACTTAAGTTTTGCTATAGAACATGAATTTGCTTTCAATTTAAAATGGAAAACCTGATATGTATAGAGCTTGACATAAATCATTGGCATCCGTTGGTTTGCTTTGCTGTAATGTCTCAACACACGGTAGACAGTCTCAGGTACATATTCAAGAACCAAATTAAGATAAAGCTCATCCTTTTCTGTGGTTGAAAAGAAGCAGTGTCTCAGTGAAACAACATTAGGATGATCAAGAAGGCGTATTGTTTGCAATTCCCGATTCTTGTATCGCTTATCCTGTAGAACTTTTTTTATTGCCACAGTTTCTCCAGTTTCAAGGCATTTGGCCTGCAAAATACACACACGGTTTCCAAATCAGTAACAAATTTGGACTTGTAAATCATCTGCTAGACAAGTTATGCATAGAAACAAAAGGATATTATATATATCCCAAACCCTTAGCGTACAATATGCCTTACTTAATGGTGGTCATCATTTGTAAAATATAAACAGTTTGTACCTGGAACACAATTCCAAAGGAACCCTGTCCAACAACACGCTCGGCCATGTAACTAATGGTCTGAATGGCAAAAGAGAATAAAAATTAGTAAATAAAAACTTTTAACACCACAAAAAGACATCCAAGGAAAAATGCATTAAAGGTAACGTCAAATATTTGTAGAGAAGTAAGATGACACGAGAATACTGGGTTGGTTACAGAGACATGATAATTATGAGCGTTGAGTGAGTCTGTGCCACTACACTGAATTTCCATATTCCCTAGTATAAGTTATCCTCTGAGATTAATGTATACTTATGTGTTCCAAAAACTCTCTAAAATATTTCCATCCTTCCCAATTCTCATTTTGATTCATCTCGCAGATACTATCTGCGATTTTATCGATAGATTGCAATTATTTACCACCATCATCACCCCCTTCACGCAATTACCATTCTCCAGGACAGTGAAAAGGACATCGTTGGATGAAACTAACCATGCAGGATACAAGCAGAACCAAAGAGAAGGACATAAGATATCTCTAATGCACATCTTGCTGAAATGCCATCCAAACTTTACAAACATGCTTCGAACATAAAAAATTGTCTAATAATATATTTGAATAAGAACTCGTTCTTTTTTAAAACTTAAACCAGATAAACATATACTATTAAATCATACAAAGAGAAAAGATGGAGTCCTTTTGTTTTGGTTTCACACCCGGTGTCCATTACCCATTTTGGGGTCCAAATAATTCAGATTCGCACAGGGAAGTCCTACCTATGGGGGGTAAAGCGCTCCCACTAAAGGTGACTCCATTCGTAGGGGTTGAACATGAGATCTCTAGTTAATGATGGAGGGTACTTATCACGCCACCACAACCTTTGGTGATAAGTTGGATTCTTTCAAAACTATTTACCCCTCTGTAATGGTGTGCAACAAAATGTCTGCCACAGGATAAATAGTCTATGAACAGAATAATAATTAACTGGAAAATGAAAAGATCTCTACAGTACATGTTGTTGCTGCTTTGAGAAAAAATGTTAGGTATGTATGTGTTATATATATACATGTTTCCCCTTACTATTTCTTCTTCTTTTTTGAACTAAGAAAAGGTAGTACATGTGCCCCTCCTTACTCACCTCAACATGTATTTTTTAAAAAGTGCTTTCTCCTTTACCTTTTATGATAATAAGGTAAGCATCCAGCTCTGGATCAATTAAATGTCATGAGCTGACCTTCTAAAAGTAAAGATTAAATATTCGGTCAATAATATAATGCACATAAGATGCAGGAAATGATAGGGGAGCAATATCTAACTTTAGTTACCGATATTCAGGCCAAAAAGGAAACAATTTCAATGAGAATAGCTCATTGAATCTATTGATCAATTCAAATTTTAGCTTTGACCTAAAATATTACTTTCTAAATTCCTAAAACAAAAAGAGACTAATGCAAAGAGATTTTTGCTTAACTCAATAAGATCAATGCTTCTGTTAGATGACTCCAGACCTTGCATATTGTCCATTTTTTATTTTTTTAATCTTTTTTCTTCAATGATAAATTATTTATCCTGTTAACTTGTAGTACTCATCAAATAAATATAAAAATCGGAGGATATTAGTCATGTAGACAGTATCACCCGATTAACAAGTGTAACTAACATATTTCTAGAGCTTAAACCCAATATTTGAAAACTGAACAATCAATGATTAAGAATTCTTACCTGCTTAGGCTCACCATTTTTGCCCCCAATAGTTGTCACAATGATGTGGCCCTTTTCTGTTCCATTTCCGTCAACTACAGCTGCTTCCATTTCCTATCAAAAGTGAAACTGCCTAAGATAAATCAAGTATACATAGACAATGAACCAGAATATGCAGTCCTCTTCCCAGAACCAACCTTTTCTGCTTTATCATCTCTGATCTTCATTTCATTTATTTCTTCAGGAAGTTTGTCGACAAGCATGGCATCAGTTTGAGGTTTACCACCTGCTGAAGGCATTATACAGCCAGAAGCCATATCGGGAACAAAGATAAGAACTTGCTTATGGTAGTGATCAATGGGCACAACTTGAAAGACAGATCATCAGCTTCCAAAAACCTGGGATGCAATGATATACAAAAATTAGAAAAGATGCATCTGATACTATCTACATTTTAAAGTTGTCGTAATTTCTGAACCAGGAAATGGCATACACATTCGTACAACATTGACCTGAAACGACCAGAATAGAGCCATAGCCACTTGACATTCTGTTGAGTAAGAACACATAGTAAGTATTGCAGACATAATACTGCTAGTTTGGTTTTTTAATGTTTTTGTCATCCCAATGGTAAACTCTGACCTGTGTGCATAAACTATTTATTATATCATTACCGAGAAGTTTGTGCGAAGAAACATAACAAAGAAAACTTCAGTGTCATTGCTTGCAAAGCTGAAGTAGGATTTATTATCTTTACACTCACAGTGTATCCCTTGATTGAACATTTGACATCAGGAACAATATGAATGATCAATTAAAAAAGAAAATTGTCAGGCTAAATAGTTCCCTATCGTGTACTGAAAAAACGTTCAATAACATAATAATGATTGATCTTCTCCAGAGCTTGAGAGGAATGAGGATCCCAAATAGCATTTGAACACACCAACACTTGTTAGAGGATATAGATTTTCAAGATCTCAGTCTGCAAACTGCCTACCACTTTCTCTTTATGCATCAACATTTAATTGACTTACAAAACTTAATAGACAGTACCATTCCATCACCAACCTCTTCATCTCCCCTTCACCCGTCAAGCCTCACAGCCCCTGAAAGTTCCTGATCACATTTTCAGCCATTCTATGAAAATAAAATAGACAGGCAGTTTCAATTCAAATCCCAAAATAGATGTAATGACTCCTATTTTAGTGATCATCAATGCTTCTCTTCTGCTATTGACCGCATAATTTGTGCAGTCTTTCACTTCTTGATTTATATCATCCTCCTGAATCCCCCTTTTCATTTTCAAAACCATGGTTCAATACTTGAATATTTTGTTGTCTGTATCACCCTTAGTTGCTGAAGAACCTTCACTAGCCTCCCTGACAGAGTCCCCAAAATTTTGGTTTATTTGAAAACATGACTAACAATATCCCAGCCATTCTTGAGCTTAACAATTATGGAATAGCGCGGCTTTCCTACTATCAGGATAGAGTTGCAGAATGGTAAAAGAGATCCTATATCACCGGCAACACGAAATTCTCAAGACCATTTCATGAATTTTTCGATCCAATGCAGCCAGAGTATCCCTAATTGCATCTTCACAGGATATCACCACAATTCTCAGTGGTATAGCAAAATGAAACCCTCCCTTCCCTTACTTTTTTTTTCTTCCGAACTTTAGGTACCTGAATGGCTCGTAGCCCATTTATTCGGTTTCAATCCTAGAACCAAACTGAAGATCCTAAAAGCTACTGATGCACTTGAGTACAGACCAAAAAGTTAAAAAAAAAAAAAAAGTTGTTTGTTATGGGGACAAGTTTCCATCTTTATATGATCGTCAAGACACAACCGACAACTTACAGCTAAAAATCAGCTAATAGAATCATAAAATCAAACTGAGCTGAGAAAAACACTTCTAATTGATATAGCTGTAATGTCTGTCTACTTTTTAGCTATCATTTCTATAGAATAGGGAAGAAGACAGTACGTACCAGGAGCTCAAAGGTTGTAATAGTTGAAGCGGCAAAAATGGCGATCGGTGAAAAGACGAAACCCTAGAAGAAGAAAGAAAAAGGAATCTCCGGCAGGTAAAGTTGAAAAATGGGAGTTTTGCTCAATTTTCAAGGACTTTTCATACACAAACTTTGACTCGCTGGAAATTCTGCTTGGAGCAGAGCGGACCCCAACTGATTTTATCAATTTTAGTTCATTGAAGTATCTCAGTTACGTAACAGGAGTCTCTTATTACAGGTGTCATTATCTCGTTGGCTTCTTCATACTTACAGTAATGACTCTAGCTGTTAGCCATGAATGAGCCCCTCTTTTCATATTTTTTTTTCTCCCAATATATAAGATCAGACTTCCAATTTTATCCACGTGGCTAGAAAAAATGTATACTCCCTCCATTTTAATTTATGTGACATATTTCGAATTTTGAGATTTAAATAAATTTATTTTTACCGTAAATTTTTTAATATGTATTTTTAAATATTTTGAATTGTCAATTATTGTGATTTATAGTACTTTTTACGTAATTTACAAATATATAAATTTCATTTTTAAAAAATAGAATATTTCATGCTCAAATTCCTGATCAAACTTAAAGAGGTCGTTTGGTAGCTGGATAAAACAATATTTATTCATGTATTAAAATTCGTATAACTTATACGACGTTTGGTAGGTGGATAAAAAAAAGTTATTCGTGTATACATTTAATACAATGTTTGGGAGGTGGATAAGAAAAAAATTATTCATATATATAATTAATACAACGTTTGGTAAGTGGATAAGAAAAAAAATTATTGATGTATAAAATTAACACGACGTTTGATTGACAATTTTGAAATTTGCATAACTAATATATGTATAAGTTATGAGAAAATTTGTGTATTATTTATGCGGAGTAGAAGGTGAAATAATTAATACGTGTATAGCTAATACATGTATAAAAATTTAAAATGACAATATTACCCTTATCACTCCCACATGACTACTTTTTTTCTTCTACATAATTAAAGAAATATTTTAATTTAAATACAAAGTTAAAGAAGGAAAAATACAAAGTTCAAGAAGGAAAGGATATAATTGTAAAAAAGTGTTATAGTTTAAAAAATATATAATTTTTTACTAATTTTTAATATAAAAACAAACATCCAAAGAAATAATTTATACATAACTAAACTCCGCATAACTAAACTATGCATAGTTAATACTTGTAAAATACCCTTATCACTCCCACATGACTACTTTTTTTCTTCTACATAATTAAAGAAATATTTTAATTTAAATACAAAGTTAAAGAAGGAAAAATGCAAAGTTCAAGAAGGAAAGGATATAATTGTAAAAAAAGTGTTATAGTTTAAAAAATATATAATTTTACTAATTTTTAATATAAAAACAAACATCCAAAGAAATAATTTATACATAACTAAACTCTGCATAACTAAACCATGCATAGCTAATACTTGTATAATTAATACATGCATAACAAATACCCACATTACTATTACATGCATTACTAATACTTGCATAACTAATACACACATTACTAATACCTGCATAACTAATATCTGCATTACTAATACATGTATAATTATATCCAGCTACCAAACAACCCTAAAGTGTTTGACTCTCGAAAAACGAGATGTGTCACATAAATTGGGACACGAGGAGTATATTGGTTTGGTAAGAGAAAATAGGGATAATTACATTTTATGTGATCTAACTTATAAAATAGCCACTAAATGATAAATTTTATATATTTAATTTGCATTTAGTGGAGGTCTGAATCTAAATGATTCAAACATTAGACCATTAAGTGTATTTGTTTTCATTAAGATTTAAGCACCCAATCGATCTGAATAGGTCTTAATCATTAAGAATTATAATAGAATCTTAATATCACTAAGAGGTATTCTTGTGTGGATGATATTTATCATCGCTCTATCCACAAATCACAATCGCAATCACCAGCCACCACCACAAATCACCTCTATCATCATCACCACCACCACCACCACCAGTGGTGGATCCAGGATTTAGAGTCCGTGGGTGCCAAATAGACTTATCGATTAAATTAATTTTATATTTGATTAAATTATTTGTCTTTTCGATATATATCATAAATCAATCAATAAAATGTAAATAATAAGATATTACACTTTTATTGAGTATTTAATCAAATAAAAGAAAAGTCAAAGGAGTAATAATGTAATTAATTAAATTTAAGTCAATAACAATTATAAAAAAATAAAAATAAAAATTGTGCCAGCTGTTTTTCCTAAAAAAACTTGCTTGGAGCCTTTTTTTTTCTTAAAAAACGTCTGCATCAAATTTCTCAAAAAAATAGGTACAAATGGGATTCGAACCCGCAACATCAGCCTTCTAAAGTTGCCCTCCTACCATGGCACCACAAAATAGTTTTGTTCTATGGGTGACACGTTTTATATTTATATAAATATTATATATATATACCTATGTATATAGAGTTTTCGTCGAAGTTCGGGGGTGGCGTGGCACCCCCAAACATCTGCATAGATCCGCCACTGACCACCACCACCATTGTCAACCACTATTATCGGCATCTATCATTAACCACATTTGTCATCACAACCACCATTATTGCTTAACCAAATCATTTTTTCTCCCAATAGAAAAGACAATAAGTACAAAATAGAATTGGAATTCAGTGATGTTGAATCAACAGTAACCCTGAGCTCTGGCAAGACTCTTCAAGCCTGATGATTCGGGGTGTGCAAAAATTAAATAAATCTAACAAAAAATGTTATTATTGATTTATTGCTATTGGGGTAATGGGGTTTTAATGATTTTATTAGAAAAACTAGGTTAATGGTTTAATTTGGGTTTTTCAATATTTAGTTATTGGGAAAATCGATAAAACATTAAGACTGTAGTAGATAACTATTTTATCCCTACATAAATATAAAATATTAAGATAATAACAATAGGCTCATCGCAATATCATTATAAGATATCTCAATAAAAAATATACTAGCAGCTACATACATTTTACGTCTCAAGACAATATCAAATCAAGATCAAAATCAGAAAACATCAATAAACCACATTCATAAACACTTAATCATTATCACAATCAACCAATACACCATGTAATGAGAATGAAATTAAGGTATAATGATTATACAATGCATACTATCTTACCAAAAAATTGTAGTCGAGATTCATAAGGAACTCACAAAATCCATGTACCCATTATGTATCAGATAACTTTTTATTGGAAGTCCCCTGAATGAAACATCTTGTACCGTACAAATCTATTCCACGAGTATTTTGGATGAAACTTCTTATACCCGATAACATTTATATCGAGAGTATCTTAGATGAAACTTCTTGTACCAGATAACCCCATACCGTGAATACCATGAATGATCCTTTAATGAAATTTATCCTTTTACTTCTATAAGTCAATATGCTTTAGATGCAATCCAAACACAAAAAATCTTATATTGAATTTAATCATCAGCATAGACAATGAAAAATAACTCCAAAGTATTCAACAATGAGAATAGAAGTTGGAGATAATTAAATATCAATTCATACACAAACCTTTAATTAAATGTGATTTTTTTTTTATCAATATCAAGTGATTAATTTCAAGATACATACAACTCATAAAATTTAATCAATTCATTATTTCTTCATTCTCACTTTTAGATCTTCCAAGTCTAATAGAAACTGCAAAGCAATTCAATGCATAACTAGTACATCAATTATCATAAAACATTATCATAATCCGATTTTAAATCATAAAGGAGAAAAAAATCATCAACTATCATGTATATGAATCAAGATAAGTAGCATATTGATCACGCCCAAAACTCGTCCTAAAGAGGATAAATGGTTGCTATAAATATAATTCGGTTTTTAAGTTTGCAGTCAAATCCCACAGAGAACTAAGATTTAGTTATAACTATTAAATATCACTAAGAAAATAGGATTGAACACTTATTTTATTTTAACTATTAAGATTCTTATTCTAACAAAAAATATTAAAGCAATAAAAAATAGCAACTAAAGCGAATGGGTTGACTTCAAGATTAAGGAGGCATAGAGTTATGATTTTTCCGATTGTCATAGTTCTTCTCGCTATGTTAGCTATGATATTGCTGAATTTATCTCTATCAATCATGAATCTTCTCTTACTGCAAATATCTCTCGATCAAGTGTAGTAATTTCCTAGCGTTATTCTCTCAAACAAACTCTAGTTAACCGATTAATCTATTCACTTAGATTGCATAAAGCTTTGTTATCTCTATCCTCATGTAACACCTCGAAAGTTAGAAAATCGAAAAGGAAAGAAAATGTAGAACAATTGACTAAAGTAAGGTTCTACGAGTCCAACCTATGGATCGTAGAAAGTCCTACGGACCATAGGAAAGAAGTCGTAGACCAGTGTTGAGTTTTGAAAAATTAAGTTTATGAAAATTGAACGTATGATTTGACAGAACGAACCGTAGAAAGTTTAACGGGTCGTAGGACTAACTCGTAGGATTGATTCAGAGATTTGATTTAGGACATCAGTTCCATGAAAGGTTTTAACGGGTTGTCATTTGTGTTATGGACCGTAAAAAGGTTCTGTATAAAGGTTCCAGACTTAATGAAATTTTGGAGTGAACCTTGGGTTCTACCAATAAGGTCTACGGACCGTAGAAAGTTTGAAGGACCGTAGAAGGTCTTGTGGGAAATGATTGAATATTTGGTTTTCTGAAGTTGGTTCTACGATTGACCAGTACGGACTGTAGAAATTTCTACAGACCATAGGTTACAAATGTAGGACTATCCGACAGTTATTTTTAAAGGATATTAGGGTCTTTCTCTATGCATTTAACACTCATACTACATTGTTTTGACCCTAATTATAAGTCCTATAACTACTCTTCACCCTTAGAAATTTCCCAACTCTTTCATTTCCCTCAAAATTCCCAAATTCTCTCCCAGGTTCTCCTCAAAATTCTCTCTCTAGATCAAGGAAAAAGCTAGGGTTCTTCAAGTTCAAGTCTCCTTTATTCAGCATTGCTTAGGGATCCAATCAAGGTATGTTGGGAGTTCATCAATGAGTTTCATTCCCCATTCAGTCCCCAAAGATTCTTTAGTTCTCTAATTCAATTCAATCAAATTGGTTAAGTTTTCATTAAATTGTCATGGGTTCTATTTG